AAAGCAGGCATGTGGACAGGGGAGACTGGTGGGTTTCTTGACATATAAAAACTGTTGTTGTGTCTCCACTTCCTCACACTGTACAAAATGAAGCCAAAATATCATGGATATAGCCGCTGCCAAATTTCACCGGTCAGAGTCTGTGCAGTAGTGATCGGGGTCAGTGCACAGTGTCAAAGTCCTGCCCATGTGCCTGGCCAACTCAATCACAAGCAGGGCTCAGCTGTCAATCATGATGTGTAACCCCCTGTTTATCGCTTCAAATAACTAATTAAAACTGAACTGATCACAAAAATAAACACTTGAACATACACCAGCTTGATAAGAACTACCTGAAATAACAGAAACTATGTTCGGGATTTTTTTTTTTTGTTAAAGGCAACGTCCTATCTGTTAACATAGAGGGCTTTATGACCTATACTGTAGTCAGGCATCAGAAGGCGATAGAGAGGTTTTGGCTGTCATGTCACAGTTTCAGATTACCACAAACTAATAAAAATAACTGGTTGCAGAATGGAGGCAGCGTTGCACACTGGCCATGCTGAAACTATATCGTTAACATCTGAAACTATACCCAGCCCTTGTCTCCTCACAAGCTGTCTTACTCCCAGTAATATGGTAGTTTAATGTCTGTTGCTTTATATGGTAGCTCTTACAGGCAGCTCCTGTTATCTTTGTAGTTTGAAGAGCACAAACTGTATAGAGAGGTCCATGTAATAATGTTAGCCTTCTCTTCCTCTGTTCCCCTGCCTTTTAGAGCAGAAAAAGTCTGTTTCCTAAGAAGAATAGACGTCTCTTGGGCAACCCAGAAAAAAAGGTCAGATAGAAATCGCCTGTCTGCTCGTCTCCCCTCCCTCATTATGCAGGGAGCATAAAAGGAGGGTGAATCTTCTTTCCATATTCTCTTTTGTTGGAGGTTGAACCCTTCATCCGTGCTCTTCTTTCATTTCCTCTCTTATAAAGACTTGAACACATCATCAGCGTAGATCTGCCCTGCTGATGGACAGGCAAAGAGTGACAATGATTCCCCCTCTATGTATGAGAAGAGGCAGCAGAGACTCTTTTGATTGTGGGTTATGAGGAGTAAATGGGCTTCTATTCTCCTCCCAGGTGGAGATTTCACGCCTCGTGATGAATGTTTGATGGGGTTGGTCAAGAAAGGAAAGGCTAAAGAAATTCTGCAATATTACACTCACATCAGATGGCAAACATCCCATTTCTGTGCACTTATCCTGAACTGTTTGCCTTTATGCTTTAAAAGGCTTTTAAAGACAGAATAATGTGTAGTGTCTCCTGCCTCCTACTCTCTGATTTCACCCTCATATCTTGCCTGCCCACGCCTCGAGCCCACCTAAAGTCCCTCCTCAGGCACCATGAACAGTATGTCATGCTGTAGCTCCCTGTAAGTCTCTCTAACAAGGTATAAGGCTTGTCAAACCACATCTGTGCACTGGATGGACCAGCTGTGGCGCGCTGCCTTCCAGGCAGGAGTACGTCTCATTGGTGTGCCAGTGGTAGGAATCTATTACAGTGAGAGAAAACCAGGTTCAGCCAAAATGAGCCTGGAGGAATCTCTATCCAGTCTGTCAGTTAATGAGTCAATGACCACTGACCAGGTTGGAAATTCAGATGATCTAAACCACTTTGTTTGGAGCAGTGCCTGAATTGAACCAAAAAAGGTGTCAGTACCCTAATTCAGCACAACCCTTACCCTAAACACAACATATCCCTGACCCTAAACACAACATAACCCTAAACACAACATAACCCTAAATAAAACAAACAAATAAATAAAACCCTAAATATTTCATACTTAAAAATGCACAAAAACATAATAAAATCACTTTACCTTACATTTTGCATTACATTTATGAAGCACATATACTAGGCACCTCATCTCATCTTTATTTAGGTATGTCCACACATCTGATTTAACTGTTTTTTGTGGGGGATACAACATCCTGGCCTTCAGCCATTGTGACAGGAGTAGGGTTTTGGAATGACTGGAAAGATATGGGCTGTATGCAGCTTTTTCAATCAATATTGACGATTCAGGATTATCATAAATGAAATTCACCACAATAAATTTGTCAGACTGTTTTTTATTGTAATACGTGATAATATTGTATCGTCCCATATCTATACACTCATTTAAACATCAACATCCCCAGAACCTAATTTTTAGATGCCTCCAATTCGAGATTTCATAACAAATAAACTACTTTCAATATCAATGCTACGACATCAGCAGTACAGCAGTTAGGTCCAACTAAAAAATCTGTCTATAACCCATTTTTATAATGTCCTTGGGCATTGGACCTTGGGCCTCATGCAGCAACATTGCTCTTATATCTTTTTCTGTTAAAGGTCCAGTGTGTAACATTGAGGAGGCTCTATTGACAGAAATGGAATATAATATTTATTAAGTATGCGTTCATTAAAGGGACATTTCACCCGTGGAAACATAAACAATATTTATTGAAAGTTGGTTATATATGTAGTCGAAATGTAACATAAATTTTGAATTTGGTGCCTATTTGACCGAGAAAAGACAGAAAGTGACTTTAGGGCGCA